ATTTAGCCAAAGCAGCTTTTGTGACTGAGGCTTCCATGGCAGTAGCAGCAGCCGTAGTTCATCTGGCATTTATGACAAGGTCTTCGCTGAGAACCTCCTTGGTTCTGGGGCTGTGCTATCCAAATCAATGCAGATCAAGAGACCTGGTCATTGTCACTATCTGTCAAGGCAGTTGTATTCAAAACACTGAGTCTCTCATTGTTTTTGTCACATACACACACACACACACACACACACACACACACGCACACTCAGCTGATAACTAGGTTTATGAAGCAAACTGTTGACAAAACAACAAACGGAAGTTTATTTAGTCATCCCCTTTCCCAGCTAGTAGGGCAGCCCACTAACCCAGTACTCCTTAAAGCGTATACTTCTGAGATTTTGTTGAAATTCAGCCTCAGATTTACTAGGTTTGGGGAGAGGCCTGAGAGTCTGCATTTCTAGCAAGCTCTCTTAGTTAGATCAGGCCTTGATACTTAAAGTGTCATCCGTGGGCCAATAGATTTGGCATCACTTGGGAACTTGTTAGGCCTGCAGACTCTTAGGCGCCACTCCAGACCTACTGGACCAGAACCTGCATTTTAACAAGATCCCATGTTCACATTTGAGAAGCACTGCTCTAACCATGTAATAAGCCTACAATGTCAGTTATGGGCAAGGGTCCTGCTGGGGCTCTGGGTTGAAAGTAAGGTTAGATGGATTTCTTTTTTTTTTTTTTTTTAAACATCTTTATTGGAATTGCTTTACAATGTTGTGTTAGTTTCTGCTGTATGACAAAGTGAATCAGCTATATGTATACGTATATCCTCATATAGATGGATTTCTTGTTGCCTTTTTACTTCAAAACTCTTTTGGGTACCTGCCTCAGTAGAGCATCTGACGCTCAGATAAAGACACGGACAGATGCCTCTGTTCAGTCATTCAGTGGTGTGATGAATTTGTTTTTATCCATCCTGGAGTGCCATTATCTTTAAACACAGGGGCCCACTGACCAACCTATCCCTTCTCCAGAAAACTTTATTCTAGACAGAAAAGTTTGACCGGGAGAGACATGTCTGAGCATGTTAGAATGATGAACACATTTGGAACAGCATTAGGAGATGGGAGTTTCTGTTTCCTCATCTGTAAAATGCAGATAATAACACCACCTGTTCTAGCTTCCTTTGTAGGCTTGTGAGGAGCTTTGACATCTACCTGTGAAGGGGCTTTGAAAACATAAGGATGTTCATGAGATTTTAAAGCAACTTTAGTGAGAAAAAAATCGTATATATTTCAGTACTGGAGAGGTCTGGATTCAAAACTTAGCCTTACCATCTACTAATTTTGTGATTTCTGCAAAATTATTTCATATGATTGAGCCTCAATTTCTTTTTATATAAAACGGTCATAAAATCGTCCATCATGCAAGGTTGTAGTGAGGATTAAAATGTTAATAATATACGTAAAACTCTGGTGCATAGTAGAGTTTAGTAAATGGTAGCCAAGAGCAGCACATTAAGGGACTTGGTTGAGAAATAATCTTACAAAGATGACTGTTCCCTCAGGTAAGCCTGTTACACTGGAGCAAAAAGGAAGAGTGGCTTTAAAGCTGGTTAAAAGTTTGAATAAACACCCATCCATTTCAAGAGATTGATGTCTTGAAGTTTGTTTTCTGAGTATCTCTGGAAGAAAAATTCCGAAACCTCAAACAAGGTTTTTTTAAATTTAAATATTAGTGAGTACCAGCCACTGGCAGATTTTGTGATTAGGAGGATTTGCTATGATTATCTGTCTCATTCACTCACTCTCAACAGAGGTGCCAGAGGGACTTGGTAGTGTCCATGAGAGCCTGGCACTGGTACGGAGGAAGGTTTCCACATTGGTGTCCGTGCACCCAGACACGCCAGGCCCTGGGGAAACAGCAGAATTAGTGGTAACGAGGGTCATGTAAGGTGATGAGATTGCTCTGAGGACCGTGGGAATTCATTGATGGTATCCTCATTATCAGAATAACAGAACAGCAAGTCTTATTTACTGGAGACATGAGGGGGTGGCTGTTGGGTTGTTGCTGCTTTACTGTCAGCAATTAAGCATTTGCGATACAGAGGGACTTGTCTATTTTAAGAGAAAATAAACGTTCTCGTCCTCCTTTCCCTATCTTCCCAACCTCTAGCTCATATTTTTATTTTGGAAATGCTCTTTGAAGGCCCTCGGCTTTCTTAAGTCTCTTTTCAGGCAGGCTAAGCCTTTGGGATGGCAGGGCCTCTCACTGTTGTGGCCTCTCCCGTTGCGGAGCACGGGCTCCGGACGCGCAGGCTCAGCGGCCATGGCCCACGGGCCCAGCCGCTCCGCGGCATGTGGGATCCTCCCGGACCGGGGCACGAACCCGCGTCCCCTGCGTCGGCAGGCGGACTGTCAACCACTGCGCCACCAGGGAAGCCCCTGGGGTGGTATTCTTTTGAGGAAGAGATTGCTACAGTGTGCAGAGTTTGTGTGGCGATAACCTTCCTGGTGATATTCTGAAGTACCGTGAATGTGATTTCACAGACAGCCAAAGGCAGGGTGTCACATGATCCGCGTTTCCGCACGATCTCTTTGAGAGGGTGTGTACACTCGAGGCCAGGTGAGGAGGGACAAGAACACCTCACTGATAATATGGCCCTGCAGTGAAAACCTAATAGGAAGAAGGGTGGGCTTAAGAGGGAGGGAGTGAGCCGACCAAGGCTGCAGGGAGGCTGCAGGGAGTGGCCAGAAGAGGCATTCAGCTGAACGATCAGCCGTTCTGAGTGAAGCGCAGAGCCTGTGAGAGGCAGTCGGAATGTCTTAGATGGTTTTTGTTTTTGTTTTGCCGGAATAACTTAAGGTTGAATGCATCACTGAGCCGTGTCTGAGTGTGGCGTAGCAGAGGAGTGGATCACTGGATCCTGCTTCAAGTCCGTTTTAACTGATGCCATGATGGACTCTTCTGACTCTGGCCACAGCTGTTGGCTCATTTTGCTAGGGTTTGACCCATGAATGGATCAGTGATCTCCTCTCTGTTTCCAGGCCACAGGCCATCGTCTTCACTTCCAGCCAGTCGATACTTATGGTCTTTGGGGAATACGTGGACGGAAGCTGTAGGTAAAGGGGCTTCATGAACCAGCAGGAGGGACAGGTTGAAGAGCATCACTTTTTAGAATGTAAGGCTACGTGGGAAGAGCATTTGCTAGCAATCAAAAAGTGAATTTCGATCCTAGCCGTGTCCCTACTCACTATGGGACCTTGTTCAGCAAGTAATTTTATCTCTTGGAGACCCAGGGATAATGATACCTACTGCAAATCTACTACACCTATTCTAAATCTGCTATAAATCACACCAGAATTTGAAAAGGGTCAAATGAGGTGATGGAGAAGAGAATTAATTTAATTAAGTCAATCAATTATTTAATTAATTTGAATGAAATAAAATGAAAAATTCAGTTTCTCAGTCACACTAGCTACCCTTTAAGTGCTCAGTAGCCACATGTGGCTAGTGGGTACCATACTGGACAAAAAAGATACAGAACATTTGCGTTATCACAGAAAGTTTTATCAGATAGTGCCTTAAAGCACTATTTAGGATGTAAAGGATGGCATGTTGTAAGGGTGATAAGTACTGTCATAGTTAGGGGTTCTTAGAAAGAACCCACTCAAGTTAGCTGGAGTAAAATGAGATATTTGACTAATTCAAGAAAAATGTATGTGTCCCAAGGGTTGGAAACACAACTAGGCTTCAAGAGGAAATGGAACCAGTTCCTATGAGGCTATCAAGAACAAGAGAAGCTACTCTCTCCCCACTGTCTCTCTTTCTCTTGTCTTCCTCTGCCTGTGGTCACTTGTGCCCTTGTCTCTGTTTCTCTGTCTGTGCACATGGCATCTTTCTTTCTCTCCTCTTCCTCCTTCACTTCTTCCTCCTTTTCTCCTCAACCCCTCCCCCTTTCCTCCCTCCCCTCTCTGCAGACCAGCTTTCTCAACTGTACTACACATGGTCCAAATAAGCCTCAAGCAGACCCAACTTGGTAAAAAATTTGTTTAAGTATCATTGATTTACAATGTTGTATTAGTTTCTGGTGTACAGCAAAGTGATTCAGTTATACATATATAATAGTTTGCATTTGTTAATCCCAAACTCCCAATCCCATTCCTCCTCCCCCTTGGCAACCACATGTCTGCTGTCTATGTCTGTGAGTCTGTTTCTGTTTTGTAAGTAAGTTCATTTGTGTCATATTTTAGATTCCACATATAAGTGATATCATATGGTATTTGTCTTTCTCTGACTGACTTCAGTTGGTACAATAAACTCCAGGTCCATCCGTGTTGCTGCAAATGGCATCATTTCATTCTTTTTTATGGCTGAGTAGTATTCCATTGTATATATGTGTATATGTATAGATCACATTTTCTTTAACCATTCACCTGTCGATAGACATTTAGGTTGTTTCCATGTCTCCATGTCTTGGCTATTGCAAATAGCGTCAGGCAGACCCAGTTTTCATCACTTCTCAGGGATAATGCCTAACAAAGGCTGGATCCTGATTCCAAATTCCCGGGGAAGCCCACTGGGTGTGATAGCCGCCCCTGCTCCAATCAGCTGTATCCAGGAGGATGGGGGTAGTGTCCTTATGCTTACTCAATAGAGGCAAGTGGCAGGGTGGGGCAGATGCTCTAAAAAGGAGCATATGGGGATGTGTCATTGACTAACATGCTCATCCTTAACACCTTGGAGCAGCCCATTGAAACTATGATCAGACAGGGAAAAGTTCCAGAGATTTGATCAAGGCCATGAAGAAAAAGGGTGTGATACTTTTCCTCCTTTGGCTATTTGGTCATATGATTTGATCACCAATCCAGATTCTCAGGGGTTTGGCTTAACTTCCATGTCCTTATACCTGGATGGAAGTGGGCACAGGCAGAAGTGAGATGGAAGTCAGGTCTAAGCCTTTGTCATTTCTTAAATGCAAACGGGACACTAATGAGACCCTTTTCTCTCCTGCCTTTAGGAAGAAACATGAGGTTCCCCTGGAAATCATTCAAGAGGAAGATGGAAGGGGCTGTCTAAAAAGAGATTGAAAGCTGCAGACCGCAAGCCTGGGGCCAGAGGGCTGGCAGTGGAAAACCCTGTTGGGTTGTGATCTCTCATTGAAAAGTCCCAGTTGCCCTTTTGCTTCCTGCAGGGGGAAGGAAGAGAAGGAGAAGACCATGTCCATAGCCTTGAAGCAGGTGTTCAACAAGGACAAGACCTTCCGGCCGAAGAGGAAATTTGAACCTGGCACGCAGAGGTTCGAACTCCACAAACGGGCTCAGGCATCCCTCAACTCAGGCGTGGACCTGAGGGCAGCTGTGCAGCTGCCCAGCGGGGAGGACCAGAACGACTGGGTGGCGGTGCACGTGGTGGACTTCTTCAATCGGATCAACCTCATCTACGGTACCATCTGTGAGTTCTGCACTGAGCGGACCTGCCCTGTGATGTCAGGGGGCCCCAAATACGAGTATCGGTGGCAGGATGACCTCAAGTACAAGAAGCCGACTGCACTGCCAGCCCCCCAGTACATGAACCTTCTCATGGATTGGATTGAAGTCCAGATCAACAATGAGGACATATTTCCAACGTGTGTGGGTAAGTCCATGGCCAGCTTCCTGTTTGTCACTTCCCACCCAAACTTGGAAAGTTTGCAGGGGTTTCTTCTGGGACTGCCTTTGAATGCCGGATAGCACCTATATCAGTGTTTCCCTAAATTCCATCACTCACATAGCAGCAATTTCTTTTTCCGGATCTAAGGACCTTATTGAAAAAAAAAAATCATTTGTAGACCACTTAGAATTATTTTGTAGACCTAAAGAGTGGGAAACACTGGCTTGATGAAAAGTTGGATTTGATCTTATTGGCTTCCTTAGGATTAGACTCCAAACCCACCCAGAGCTCCTGGTAAAATTTTTAATTTGGAGCTAATTAACTAGTTAGTTACATTAACTCTGGTGCAATTATTGGTACTCGTCTCTCAGGGTAAGAAATCCCAGTGTGAGAATCCGTGAATTTGTTTGGGAATCAAGCAAACAGGCAGTTGGCATTTTGAAGAAATAAGATCCTGGCATTCTTTTCTCCCCTCTCCTGATCATAGGTATTAATTTCAGTCTGTACTATTAACTCTGGACCCTTGTGTAGCTGCTAGACCAACCCGGACACCTGAAATGCAAATGCTTCTGTTTGCTTTGTGCTCTGAGCCATAAAATTCTTCAAGGGGAGAGATCAGACCTTTCCTATCTCTTATATTTCTTTATGCTGCTGATCAGTTAATCTGCATGCCTGGCAGGTTGAATTCAGAATTCCGTTTCTAGGGCCTTAGGTTCAATAAGGATGAGCATTGTCTTCTTTGCACTGTTGTACCTGTGATACCTAGCATGGTGCCCTGGAACCTTTTAGGCACTCAGGCACTATTTGTGGAATGGTTGAAAAAATACTTATGCTGCTGGAAAATATTATTGAAAAGCTCTGAGATAGTTGGGGTATTAAAAAAAAAAAAAAGCATTTGAAACACATTGCTGAAATCACCTTTAGATGGGGCACGTGTGTCCCCATGTGGCATATGGAAAGTTGAAATGGGGTGTATGGAAGTAATTATGTTTATACCAGAAAACAAAAATGTATATAAATTGATTAGGGCAGTATGTCCATCTTGAAACATTCAGCACACAAACCAATCTGCTCAGAATCCTCGTGTTGACTTGTCCAGTTTCCTCACATACTTTCTCTCTGCTGTCCCTTGTTAGGGCAGGAAGTGGGGTGTATGGCAGCACAACCCCCCTTGGTTGGCTCACCAGCATATGAGGTAGAAGGAAGGTTTCAGAAACTCCCCTGGCTGTATAATTGGCGCCTTGGAGGAGTAGCAGTTTCCTAGGTTCATGTCTTTTTGCACTTTCATTGACTGTCAGAGGCTTCTTTTGGAGCTGGGAGGAATTTGTCTTTTCCAAAAGCATTACAAGCAACTACCAATGCCTCTGCAGAACATACGACAGCAGTAAAGGTAAATAAATGTGGGCAAGGATCCCTCCTTGCTGCCCTTCCCCTTATGTTTCTTTGATGCTTTGAACTCTGGGCACTTCTGGGCACTTCTGTTCTCTCTGGCAGTTGTGGTTACCACATAGAGTTGCTGACCAGAAATAACATCACAGAGCCTGGTGTGTTACTTAAGAGTGAGGAAGCTTCTGGCCATCTCCCTGGAAAATAGAACATCATAGGTGATTTCAGACTTTGCTTGGAGGAAATCACTGGATGCCGCCAGATCCCCCAGAGCGATTGACTTTGCTTTCTTTTTCTAGATGGTTTCCTTGGCCATTCGGTGTGCTTGGGGAACACTCACCTGATCAGAGCCCTCTATTTCAGCTCTTCCCAATGTGTGCTGTACAGTACAAAAGTGCTTTGGGAGCTCTTAATAGGTGCACTGTGATTTTTTTTTTTTTTCTCCCATGGAAAAATAAGTTTGGGAAATGCGGAGTGAAATTGATTTCTTTACTGCAGGACTTTAAATATACTAATGTGCATTATACATCTCCAAGAAAACAATGTGTTAGTAAGTAGTGTATCCTAATTTGAGCCTGGTACCTTCTTTTTTTTTTTTTTAATGGAACACTATTAGCATCTTTTGGGAAATGTTCATCTATATGGAGTTGTCAAACTTTTCTTTGTATCAGAATTACTCGGACCTTCTCAAAATGCAGATTCCTTGGTCCTCCCCCTCAACAACTAAATCAGAATCTCTTAGGTGAGGCCTAGGAATCTGTACTTTTGGTAAGCTCCTCCCACCCCTCTTGTTTACTGTAACCACCCAGAATGCTTTTCATCCTCCCCGGGAACAGGTTTGTTTCTTACCTCTCTGGTTTTATCCATGTCATTCTCTCCTTTGGAATCCCCTCTAGTGAATTCTTATGCATCCTTTATACCATCTCAGACTTCCCTGGTGGTCCAGTGGTTAAGACTCCTCCGTCTTCCAATGCAGGAGGCGCGAGTTCGATCCCTGGTTAGGGAACTAAGATCCCACATGCTGTGTGGTGTGACCCCAAAATTTTTTTTTTAAATGAACTTTATACCATCTCCTCTGTGAAGACTGTCATCTTTTAGAATATAAGTCCCTTCAAGTTAAGAATATGTCTTAGCATTTGAATATCCCAGCACTAAGTCCAGTCCTGGTGCCTTATAAGTTGTTGGATGGATGGATGGATGGATGGATGGATGGAAGGAAAAATAATCTTCATAGAGTTCCAGCATGTGTATGGTACTGGTGATCAAAGTGTGAAGTTAAACAAATGTCTCTGAATCTCTTTATCACCATTCCTGGGTATTTCCCGTACCTTGCCTTCCACAGGGTTTAATTTTTTTTTTTTTTTTTTTTGCGGTACACGGGCCTCTCACCGTTGTGGCCTCTCCCATTGTGGAGCACAGGCTCTGGACGTGCAGGCTCAGCGGCCATGGCTCACGGGCCCAGCCGCTCCACGGCATGTGGGATCTTCCCGGGCCGGGGCACGAACCCGTGTCCCCTGCATCGGCAGGCGGACTCTCATCCACTGCGCCACCAGGGAAGCCCCACAGGGTTTAATTTTGTCTGTTTAACTTTTCCAAGGTTAAAATGTTAGGGGTCAGTAAAAACCACCACCATCCACCATCACCCTGAGGGTCTTCATTAGTATCCTTCTCACCTCTGCTATTTGTCCTCAGACAATACTCTTGCTGTCTTTGCAAGAACTTGCCTTTTAGGAGCCACTTTCTCTATGAGAATTCATTTCCTTCTCTTCTTCCCCTGATTCCAGCCTCCTTTCTTTCTTTTTGATCTTGGTGCTGCCATGAGTCATTATCATGGAAATGATCAAGATGTCTGTCAGGATAAAGTAAAAGAGGAATTCCCAGCCAACAGCAGACCCTGGGTGGATGAGAAATCTGGGAGTTCTGCTTCACATTACGGCTTTGAATCCTGGGCATATTTCTGTCTTCTTGCCTGGGAATTGGGAGGGTTTGAAACTTCCCCTCCTCCCCACTGTGATCCGAGGAACTAGAACCGGAAAATACAGACAGATGTGAAGGCTTCACCCTTAGTTAGGTATTAAAGGATATAAACAGCTGTTGATCTCTACCATTGAAACATGGAGGAAAGAAAAGCTTTCATCTGTTTCTGGATTCTGGTTTAACTCGGATACCCGGGCTATTTCAGAAGTCGAGCCTTCTCAGTTGGGAGAATACCAAACAGATGTGACTCCCTCGTGAACCAGAGTCTTGTCCAGTCTCCCTTGATCCTTCCCAGCTTCCTTTGTTAAAAAGCCAACAGATGTTCCTGCAAAATCTCCCAAGACAGCAGTAACTTCAGAAGCAAGGGCCACCTCCTCTTTGATTGTATCTCTTTAGCCACTTTTAGAGGTAACTTTTGAAAAATAGAAAGCACAGACACCCACTTTTTCAAATCCCATTGCCTGTCTAATTACAATAATTTTTGTGTTCTAGCCCCCGGGTTCCCTGTTTTTCTGTTATATAATAGGACTTAAATCTCACATCTGACACTCAGAAAAAAAGGAGTGGAAAACTTAGCGCTCCTCCAACTCATGTTTTTAAAAAGTCTTTGAGCAGGAGGAATTTAAAAAATAATGACATGATCTCACCTACCTCTATGGTTTTAGAATAAATGGGTGTCAGGGAAGGGGAGAGCAAGCAGAGGAAGCAAAGGAAGGGAGAGAAGCCAGGAGGGAACTCACATGTATAGAGTTTGCTAAGTGCCAGGCACTATACTTGCTACTGCTAATCTTTCTTAATTCTTATAATAACTGAATGAATTAAATATGCCATTTTACCAGTTAGGAAGCTGACATTTAAACAAGCAAAGGGTTTCCCAAGGTTGTACAGCTAATCAGTCATTTAGAAGTCAGGGTTTGAGCTCGAGTGGCCAAAAATCTATGCCCTTGTCACCCACTACCATTTATAGCATGAATCATTATTCTGCAAATTTCCTTCACATGGTGAAAGCCTTCTCAATCATGGTTTTAGGAGGTTGTCTAGGGTGGGAAAAAATTCAGAAAAGCTGATTTTCGGTATAAATTTTAAAGAACTGATTCTTTTCTTTGTTTCTGTTTGTCCCTATTTTATTTTTTTTTTAAATAAGATTCTTTTTAAAAATAAATTTATTTATTTTTGGCTGCATTGGGTCTTCGTTGCTGTACGCGGGCTTTCTCTAGTTGCGGTGAGCGGGGGCTACTCTTCGTTGCGGTACGCACACTTCTCATTGCGGTGGCTTCTCTTGTGAGCACGGGCTCTAGGGGCGTGGGCTTCAGTAGTTGTGGCACGTGGGCTTCAGTAGTTGTGGCTCACGGGCTCTAGAGTACAGGCTCAGTAGTTGTGGTGCACGGGCTTAGTTGCTCTGCAGCATGTAGGATCTTCCCGGACCAGGGCTTGAACCCTTGTCCCCTTCATTGGCAGGCAGATTCTTAACCACTGGGCCACCAGGGAAGCCCTTCCCCTATTTTAAATAATCACCCCTGAAATGCCTGAGGAGTGTGTCCATGAGACTACAGCTGAGTTTCATCCTCTCAAAATATTGTGGCAGGAAACATAAGGCTATAAAAATGTCCATAGGGATGAGC